GAGAGAGAGAGAGAGAGAGAGAGAGAGAGAGAGAGAGAGAGAGAGAGAGAGAGAACCTTAACTATATATATTATATTTTCTTACTTTTCTATTCAACATTTAGAATTTGATTTTTGACACACCAAAAAAATTAATTATATGCAATCAGTACCGCAGATTAAAAGAAGGTGGCTGTCGGATGCTCTAGTGTGGTCTGCTTCTTCTTTCCTATCAAACATTCTATCTTCCTTATTTCTTCTCCTCCTCCTTTTTTGTATTTGTAACTCTTTTGTATCACCTCTAGTTCTCCGCACTTGTGTGAACTTACTGTGTTGAAAGTGCTGTAAAATGCTTATTAAAACTTTACAAAAACGGATTGCGAAACTGAATTATGGAAAACAAAACATTAACATTTAAGGCTTTTTACATTAGAACAGCTGACCGCAGATCTGTTGATTTCGCCAAGTAGTAAAATGTTATGGTTCAACCTGCCATGAAGACAAATTCCACCAACATAAACCAACGAACTGATTCCCTATTTTAGTGACTTAGATATTTATAATCACTCCTGCCCTTGTTTAACCTCAGGCTCTCTTCCTAAATTGTAACACAATGCTCCGTTATTTCCAGGCGATGACAGTTGAGTAGCATTGGTTTGTGGATTGTAGGTGAATCATTTGGGCAGTGGTATGTCACAAATTGCGATCAGCAAGCTCGTTCAGAGGGCTAAATATGTAATGACAAACCTTCAAATGTTCACCATTCGGGAAATGCTCAAACCTTCGGATTTTGTCCGAAGTAAATCCGGCACAGTTCTGATTAGTTAATAGAACGAATCACAGCTGGCGGTTTCGGAGTTTCTTTTTATCATTTTATAGTTTAAATACACTAGGTATGACAGTAGCAGAGAGAACCAAAATTACTTCTGTAATAAACAATAATGTTAATTGCATTCGATAATTGCAATTCATAACACATATCTATATCACTGATCTACACAATGCTGCACATTCTTTACAACTGTTATTTCCCAAAGTAAACCCTGAAACATTCAGAAACAATCTTGGCTTTCAGGGAAGCATACAATGCAAGCAGCCGATTGAGCGCTCAAGCACTAACAAAAGTGTCAAGATATATCGGCTTCTACAGCCGGTTACCGATTTCCGCCTGTGTGAGATGAGATGAGAAAAATGTGTATAAACTGATTTTCTCAAGAAAACAATTTTGAGCTGAGCAGAGCTTCAAACCCCCAGAGCCCGAACCGACAACCTCATGATTAGCCTACTAGTGTGCTAGCTTAAATGCTTCACATACGACAAACAGGGATTACCTTCTGCGGGAAACACGTATGGCAAGTGTTCGATTTCTTTCAGCGTTTCTTTTTTTTTTAAACTGTCATATATCGGAAATCCCGAAAAGCAAAGCATGCTTTCAGAGCTTGACACCGACTCTAAATACGGAAGTTTGCTTCTGTGAGGGTGAACACATCTATTACAGATTTCGGTTTGAGTTTTCAAGTGGTCTTGCAGCTTTAAAAAGGTTCTCTTTATCGTCAGGAGCTAATCATGACGCCTGAAGAAAGCAGCAACTTCTGGAAAGAAAATATCAAGGTTTAGAAACGTTTCAAACTTGCTTATTCTATTTTATTGTTCGTATTAGGACACGTATAGATCTAGTCTGCATATAAAACGTTCTTTATAGCTTACAAAAGGATAACATACGTTTACAAGAGCCTTTAAGTAAAGGCTCTTGTAAATGTAAAGGCTCTTGTAAACGAATGTTATTTTTTTGTAAGCTGATATACTGTGCTGTCGTGAGATCTAGAAGAACCAACTTTTACTTCTACTCCTTTTTTTCATTCCAGTCACTCTTCACAAAATAATGTGGAAAGGGGGGGGGGGGAAGGGATGTAATGCCAAAAAATATAGTTACAGTGAGAGACGAGAGCGAGAAAATAAAGACAGGTGGAGAGAGAGGAGAAAGAGAGAGAGGAAGTAAGAGTAAGAGCTTGAGACTATATAATTTGTGTGTGCGTATGTGTGCGTATGTGTGTGAGTGTGTATGTTCGTCTGGGGGAGTGTGTGTGTGTGTGTGTGTGTGTGTGTGTGTGTGTGTATGTGTGTGTGTGTGTGTGTGTGTGTGGTGTGTGGGTGAGTGTGGGTGTGTGTGTGTGTGGGGGGGGGGGGTTAGAGAGAGAGGGGGAGGGGCAGGGAGAAATTGGGGACACCCATAAAAGGCAATTGAGAGGAAGATAGATAGATAGATCAACACGTGATAGATAGATAGATAGATAGATAGATAGATAGATAGATAGATAGATAGATAGATAGATAGATAGATAGATAGATAGATAGATAGATAGATAGATAGATAGATAGATAGATAGATAGACCGGGAAAAGACAGAAAAAAAGAAAAAGAAGGAAAGCCTCAAATGAAATACTAGCAAATTCACACTAGTCACGTCTGATTACCCTTTGTTTCCACAACAACTAAAAAGAACAGAGATCAAGTTCCATATACAAACCGACAAGGAAAAGGCTAACACTAACACTATCACCTTAGAAGAGACTGTGCCCACCATTTCGGAACTTCACTGTGGCATTGAAGATGGTTCCAGTAGGTAACGGGATAGAGGGTGCCAACGTCCTTCAGGACTCATTTGAGCAGAGTAGAGAAAGATAGGACTAACGCTAACATGACATAAACCCAATCCCACATCATCACTTATCACCATTATTTCTAAAATCATCATTTCTCTCAAAATATTGACTTACATCTCTATATTCTTTGAATCTCTATCCTTAACACTTGCATGTTATAATGAGTATGTACGTAATACACTATTCGACGCTATCATACGCACCTTTTCTTACTAATAAGATGGCGTAGATCTCTTTTTTTTTTAGTTTTAGAGTTTTTGTTAGAGTTTTGCGGCACTTGCAACACAATAAGGTCATACAGTACCGAAGATTAGAAGTGTTACAAGGGAGTAATACGCACAAAAAAGAAGTAGGAGAAATATGGACGATAGATGTTTTATAGAAAAGAAGTAGCAAACCAGAGCACCCTCCAACCAGCCACAATCTCATGGAAATGGACAAAGGACCAAAATAAAAGAAATATAATAAAAGCGGCGAGTAACAAACTCCTGTAAAGGCCTTAAAATGAACATGGCGCTCCTCATGGCCACAGAAATCCGAGGATAGTCACAAACGCCACTTGACCACCAAGATGTGCAAGCAGAGCCGGTTCCCGTTCACTGATCAGCTCTCTGCACAACAGATGGTCTGCATGAGAGACACCTATGCCGGCCACCGGAGGTTCACGTCAGCAGTAAGTTATCATCTGAGCTGATTTTCCATGTTGTTGTTTTTTATGGGGGGAGTGGGGTTTTTATTTTTGTGTGTGTTTGTTTGTTTGTGGATCAAACACTCAATTTGGTACACATCGTGTTAGAGCAGACATGAATTTATCTTTACTGCACTCACGCCCCAAACGGCGCAATAAGATCATCATTTTAGGGATCGCTTTGACCCTGCTTTTCAGGGCAAACCAGGGCAGAGAGGGATACAACGTCCCAGCAGAAAGACTAAGAGCCAAGGTCCACATACTCCGCTTTCGTAGGCTTACGTACTCACAAAGTGCGTACGGAAGCGTTCAACCTTTTAGTTCTACATTACCTGGACCCACTGCGGACGCCACGCTTCCTCACGCTTACGTGAAAAACATATTATAACGTTTAGCATGTCAAACATTTTCCGTACGTGCTGTGGCTTCAAGGACACTGATTTCGTTGATTATCTTTTGTTTGTCCACTTTTACCTTTGAAAATTAAATTAATGCCACTTGACTTTGATCTCAGTATTATCAGTTTCCAAACTGTGATATTTTAAATTTTAAAAAAAAAATTTGGGGGGGGGGGCGGGGTGAGGTGTTTCTTCGTTTGACATGTTTATTTAAGCATAGTCAATAAAGTTTATATCATTGTTAATTATTGAATTTGTTATTCTGAACTTCAATAGTCGTTTTGTAGTTTGTTTATTTCTGCTCCCATTTTTCAAAGTAAACAAATGTGTCTGAAAAGAACAAGCAGAGGGGGCTCTTTTTTAAATGACAGATACGGTAGAGACCATTTACGTAAGTGATATACTACAATAACAACAGCGAAAAAAAAAGAAACAGAAGAAGAAGAACAAAAACAACAACAGCAGCAGCATCAGCAACATCTTCCATCAGTGTAACTGTCAGCCTTTCAATTGATGGAATGGGCCTCCTCCAGTTCATATTCGTTTTTTTGAATATGTAGTCCACATAATTCCAAAACGCTTTAGAAGCTTGCCTTCGTCATACGAAAATAATAGGCTAAGCATGTTTTGTTACAATCAAAAATTTGGTGCAACATTCTAAAATCTCTTGTTTTGCCTGGTTCTTTGCATATGGGATCTTCCCAGAATCGGCGGTGACCTTGCATATACCTCCTCTTCAACCACCAATATAAAAAAAATCTTCTTTCTTGCTAACGCCATTTCTATAGATCAAGGTCTGGTGGGCAAAAAAAATTAATGTACCTGTGAGGACGCAGTGGACACGGGCTACCCGCCACGTTAACGTGCGTACTTTGTGATGAAGCGTGAGTGCTGACGCTGTGGACCCCGGCTCTAAGATAGTCAATGAATTCTGCTCATATGAGAATCAACCTCAGGTTTTTTTTAACTCCACGACGAGCACGTGATCGCTACTACACCAGAGACGTTGATGAAGAAACTTCAATGATTAACTTTTACAAGTATCACAAAAGATACAAAAGGTACTAGATTTGGTGGTTTGTAAGAGCAGTGGTAATTCATCAAATAATTACATAAAACTGACTCACGGACACTAGTCAGCGGTTGTTTATGAGAATACAGTCTGGTATTTGTAGGCATCGTAAAATCGGTGGCTCGTCAAAATAATGAAATCAAAGGAATCGGCAATATTTTTTGGCTATTTGACAATTTTTTCTAATTTTCTTTTTAGGCCCAACGCCTTCTATGTCCTTTAAAACACATTTTTGTGTGTGTGGATTTCACAGTAGAACATTGATTTAAGGCACAAAAAATGTAAATTTCCAGTTTCAAAGGGCTCTCAGGCTATGGAAGTTACCAAATTTTGGCGGCCATTTTCTGACTAATTGTACCTCTGAAACAAGCAAAATTGACCTCCTTCAATCACAAATCTGTCTCTGCATAATATATATATATA